ATCCTTCTCCGTCTCAGATAAACAGGAAGAATGTTACAGTGTCACAAGGTGTCTTTATACCCAACCATTTAAATTTTATGCTTAAGTGATTAATAATATATCGGTATGACACGGCAATTTGCTAACTCAGGCGTGTAGTTGACAACGACGTTACGGTTATGATTTTCATGAAGGGAAGGATTATGCCGGCCTATGCCGACTGTTCGTCACACCACCTCACTATAAACTACATTATGAAACGAATTTCTCCTAAGACATATGCTTTTATGAAATACCTATTTTGACATTACTAGATTTGCGGTCAGTTTTTACACACCAAAGTATGTCTTGTGGCATTATAATAGATAGGCTTGTTTCTTGAATAGTTCTGCAACATACTGTGCCTTCTCACACAAAACATGAGCCTTTGCCAGTGCTGGGATCGTCGTTATGACTAATGGTCCTAGTACTGACGTGTGCTGTGAACATCCCCCTGCAATAAATATACCTTTAAGATTATTTTAATAGGAAAATCCATCTCCATTTTGTCTGTCCTACCTCGGCATCACATCTCCCCGGTGTGTTCAAGTGTTCCGGAGTCCAAATCTGATTTAGATGATTGCTGCATGTAAACATCACCCCATTAACTGCATTTTCAGAATATCGGTTGGTGTGCCCGTAAACTTCCTATTTACGTGTTACCCGTGTCCGTAAACTTCACATATAGGTAACAATATATATATATATATATATATGTGTGTATGTATGTGTGTGTGTGTTCGTAAAGTCACATGTACGTGTTATTTGAGTCCGTAAAGTCACATATACGTGTTATATGTGTCTGTAAAGTCATATGTACGTGTTGTATGTGTACATACAACTTATGTGTCCGTAAAGTCATATGTACGTGTTATATGAGTCCGTAAAGTCATATGTACTTGTTGTATGTGTACATACAAGTTATGTGTCCGTAAAGTCATATGTACGTGTTACTTGAGTCCGTAAAGTCATATGTACGTGTTGTATGTGTACATACAACTTATGTGTCCGTAAAGTCATATGTACGTGTTATATGAGTCCGTAAAGTCATATGTACTTGTTGTATGTGTACATACAAGTTATGTGTCCGTAAAGTCATATGTACGTGTTACTTGAGTCCGTAAAGTCATATGTACGTGTTGTATGTGTACATACAACTTATGTGTCCGTAAAGTCATATGTACGTGTTGTATATGTCCGTAAAGTCATATGTACGTGTTGTATATGTCCGTAAAGTCATATGTACGTGTTGTATATGTCCGTAAAGTCATATGTACGTGTTATGTGAGTCCGTAAAGTCATATGTACATGATATATGTGTCCGTAAAGTCATAGTTACGTGTTATATATGTCCGTAAAGTCATGTGTACGTGTTACTTGTGTCCGTAAAGTCATGTGTACGTGTTACTTGTGTCCGTAAAGTCATATGTACGTGTTGTATGTGTACATACAAGTTTTGTGTCCTTTAAGTCATATGTACGTGTTATATGAGTCCACAAAGTCATATGTACGTGTTACTTGTGTCCGTAAAGTCATATCTACGTGTTACTTGAGTCCGTTACGTCATATGTACGTGTTATATGTATCCGTAAAGTCATATGTACGTGTTATATGTGTCCGTAAAGTCATATGTACGTGTTACTTGAGTCCGTTACGTCATATGTACGTGTTATATGTATCCGTAAAGTCATATGTACGTGTTATATGTGACCGGAAAGTCACATGTACGTGTTATATGAGTCCGCAAAGTCATATGTTATATGTGTACGTACAAGTGATATGTATGTGTCACCTGTGTCGGTACAAGTCATATCTATGTGTTACCTGTGTCGGTACAAGTCACATCTACCTGTTACCTGTCTCCGTATGTTAAAGAAGCTTGTACAAGTCCTATCTACGCTTGCGCCTGCACACGGCCTAGATATATGTTACCAATGCTCCCACGAGACATGCATGCGTCACCTACACCCGTACACGCCACGTCTACGAGTTTTCTGTTCCCGTACGTGGCATACCCGCGCTGCTTCTAAGACGAGGGTCTATATACCACACATAAACCCTTCCCATACACGCCGCGTTCCTACCCTGCTAAACTAACTGTTCATAATATGGTTGGCAGGTACTTGTTACGTGCTAAAGGTCACGAGGTGCAGTTCACGTGAGTTCAGAAGCCTGAGGCACAAACGTCTCTATGAAGCTTTGAATCTCACCTGTAATTGTACACAACATCGCAGTTTCCCCTTTGACAGGCTTAAGAGGTTTCCCTTTGTTTCGAGTGATAGGCTTCATATCTTGGGATTCCAGGCGATCCCAAAACCAAAGAAGATGATCGAGTAAGATCATCTAGATGCAGAGTGTGATTTCTGCTGGAATTGTGTTATGTCAGTCTGTGTTTCTAGTGTGTGAGTGAGTGAGTTGGGTTTAACGCCGCTTTTAACATTATTCCAGTTATATCGCGGCGTGTCAGCTTAATGTGGGAGGAAAGCCCGAAGTGATGCAGGTCTCAGACGTTTACCACTTCGGTGAAACCCACGAGCACGGGTATGGTGCTGACAAACCTAGAAACATAATCGGGGCGAACCGGGATTCGCACCCACAATCATAGGTTTCTGGCGTGCCCAAGGCCCGCAACTCTTCACAGCGAATCGCGGCGCCTTAGACGACTGGGCCAGCCGTGCCCCCTGTGTGTAAAGAACATCCATACGCCCCAGAAATACCACACCCTGAAGCAGCAACTACGCATTTATCAGGGAAATTTCAAACGTTAATGTTAAAGCACAAGCGTTACGGTCGTCTTTCTGCTACGACTGACGTAAGTTTATGTTAAAGCACGAGCGTTACGGTCGTCTTTCTGCTACGACTGACGTAAGTTTATGTTAAAGCACAAGCGTTACGGTCGTCTTTCTGCTACGACCGACGTAAGTTTATGTTAAAGTATGAGCGTTACGATCGTCTTTCTACTAGACTGACGTAAGTCTATGTTAAAGTATGAGCGTTACGGTCGTCTTTCTGCTCCGATTGACGCAAGTCTATGTTAAAGTATGAGCGTTACGGCCGTCTTTCTGCTACGACTGACGTGAGTCTATGTTAAAGTATGAGCGTTACGGTCGTCTTTCTGCTACGACTGACGTAAGTCTATGTTAAAGTATAAGCGTTGCGGTCGTCTTTCTGCTACGACTGACGTAAGTCTATGTTTAAGTATGGGCGTTACGGTCGTCTTTCTGCTGCTACTGACGTAAGTCTGTGTTAAAGTATGCGCCTAACGGTCGTCTTTCTGCTACGACTGACGTAAGTCTATGAAAACATATGGGTGTTACGGTCGTCTTTCTGCTAGGACTGACGTAAGTCTATGTTAAAGTATAAGCGTTGCGGTCGTCTTTCTGCTACGACTGCAGAAAGTGTCGTTCTGCTACGACTGCCTAAACTTATAGGTGTCTACGACTACCGTAAGTCTTTCTGCTACGATCACTTTGTAGAACGAGGCCCTGGTCCAGATTCGATCATTTACAGGCAACTGTGACGTAGATCGAACATTGCTGATTGTGGCCTTACACAACATTCACTCCCCCAAACTAAACTACTCGCCATGATATATTTGAAATAATAACTCTTACTCGCTGTACCATACACATGATCTACACGTTATCAAAATGTTCCGTCAAGGCAGACAAAAGAAGATCAGTAGGCACATGTAATACAAGTGGTGGCTCCTAAGGCAAGTGTCTTCGTTCGAAATATGCCTCCGGTCATCTAGCAATAAATGGGAACCCGGTAGAACGAGATGGTAATGTGACATAGCAACTTGGGCTGCATAATTCCCATGGAGCTGAGAATGAAAATTAAGTCCACTAATCGATTGACCTGGGCGCCAATGTTAGCGCTTTCAGCTGCTTATGAATGGCTTTGGCACTCTAGATATTCACATTAATCTCATTAGGTAATCCACTACCGAAGATATCATCAAGTATTTGTTAATCGAGAACTCACTGTCTAAATATACGTGTTTATGTACTCAGTTCAGTACATCTGATAAAATAAATTCCACTGGAACATTGAGGAGAGATTTCCCGACGTAGCATTTTATCGTTTGATGTTAATTTTTTACGAGAGTAGATATTTGTAGCGGTTTAAAACTAAACATTTGGTTTCTTTTCACTAAGGTAAGCCGAGTGGTGCAGATGTGTATGATTATTCTATAACGTGATGCCGGGAGTCTTTACCTCTCCCCGTGAACTCGTTTCCTTGTGTCGTGCATTACTCGAGGTTATTGATAGGAGCCGTCAGAGCGTCATTCGCCGCAGCCTTCTCGCAAAGCAGACAAATTCGTCCTCTCCTCTCCGTATGCCCCTAATCCCTGACAGTGGTATATTGCAAATCCACAGACAAGGGTAACCCTGGTAGTGTATCGTCTGCCTCCCGGGAACCAGCTGGTATGTCACCTTCCGACGGCAAACTCTGACAGCCATCCTTGGACTATATGGCGTTAAATGATGCTCGTTATTTTTCTAATCTTTCAACGCCCACTCGAGTGAAGGGATTTGGAGACTGTCAGTTTGAAATCCGCATTCAAATACCTCGGATAGTGATCCCTACCTTTGTAAAAGCTCAGTCCTCGATGAGAGGCGGGGCTCTGGATGAGTGGCACTTCAGTGGACCTGCTAAACCAATCGAGACACAGCTTGAGTGACGGGCCTGTGGACCTTTGTGGGTGTGTTTGCTTGAAATAGACGTGGTGTGTTTTGGGTATGGGTAAGAGTGTAGTGTATATAGCATCGAACACTATCTTGTCAGTGTGTCAGAAGTACTGTCTCGGCCGGCGACAGCCTTGTCACTAGAGATAGGATACATTCAATAGCCGTATTATTCTCTCATCTTTCACGCTTTGTAGATGGTAATTGTACATGTCGTCCTTTAAAAAGCCGCATATTTTGTGTGAGTCTTCAATTTAAAACTTGAATTAATTGAATTGGTTTCAATTGCAGTGTCTACGGAGTGGCTTTGAGTGGAAGGGGCTCCGTGGCAGCAGACAGCTACACGAGTAGTTTGCAGATTGAGAAGACGGGGGAAAGTCGAACTCGCATGGAGTAGGACTCGCTACCTAGCCATGGCAAAGCTCCGTTGCTGTGGATCCTGACAAATAATGAATTGTGGAAGTCCCATCATTCCCGTGTTTGTGACTTGCTAGACTCGACAAAAGTTACAGCAAACGTGAACCATTGACCGTCGCATCAGAAGGACGAGATGGTGTAGACATACATGTTGTGCAATACGTGTTTCAGTCGACACGTGTGAGGGACTGCACCAGAGTGCTTAGTTTGACCCAACCTGCTAGCCCGTAGTGACGACCAAGTGACAACACATGTACCAAGAACTGGCTGTGTAGACCACTCCGGTAATTGGACGGAGGCCGCTCTTATCGTGTCATAATTTGTTAAGCAATTGGGGTGGGCTCGGATTGTGCCTGTGTCTCCAGTCGAGGGGGGCTACAAGTGGAGTGTAGGAGGTATCGTGCATCGTGCCAGGCACCCTGACATCTACACGAGGTGTGGGGGCCTCTTATGGCCGTTAACACATTCGGAAGCCGTTGTTATACCCAACTAGACGCTAACCTCTAGCCTACGGCATTGGAAGAATAATTGTGAAAGTGTATCGTAATATGGAGATGGAAACTCAAGCTTGGTTGAGTGTGTTTATTTGTCTGGCTTCTTTAGTCTCGGCGTCGGAGTACGACTACAACTACTACAGAGATGAATACAACAACGACGGCTACATCATACACGGGGACTACCCGCGAGACTGGACACCTAAGTGGGTCGGGGTTACCCCCAAGTGCATTGATATTCCCACAAATCTAACCCTATGCCAAGATATAGGCTACAAACGCATGAGACTGCCAAACCTTTTGGACCATGATACCCTCAACGAGGTCACCCAACAGTCTAGGTCCTGGGTTCCTCTTCTTGGGATTCACTGTCATCCGGATGTTAAGCTGTTTCTATGTTCGCTGTTTTCCCCCGTATGCCTGGAAAGAACAATTTGGCCCTGTAGGTCATTGTGTGAAAGTGTCAAAAACGCATGCCTGTATAGAATGAAGTTCTATAAGTTCGACTGGCCGGAGATGCTACGATGCGACAAGTTCCCAGTTGATAACGACCTCTGCATCAAACAACAAAATTACAACAAACGTAAGTAGTTGTATTTGTGTATATTTGTCTCTACCCCCTAACCTCAAGGCGTGGACACTCTCTCGCCGTACTCTCAAACTTGGTGTATGAAAATATACCCTTCCTTCTGTTCCTGTCTCTCTTTTTTAAAACTGAAATACCCTTAGTTTTGTCATCTTCTGGTACTTTGCTATTTCTCAAAAAAGTTTTGAGTTCTGACTTTTTCTCTCTGTTCTATTTTTTTTGGGTTTCTGTCAGTCTGTATTTTTTCATCTGAAGAAGTCCCTCGCTATTGCATGGCCGCCCTTGCTACTCGGCAGCTTCTTGTGTTCAGTTTGCCTGTTCCTTCATTTCTGTTTCATTTCATGACTCTCATCTCATTCTTTTCACATTAACCAAAGTGCTGAATTTTCTCACAAAAATTCTCTTTTCAAATGTACCCTATATAGTTACGTTGTCCATGTTTAATTGAAAATATTAGAAATATAACGAATCAATTTTTTCATTTTACGCTTACGAGATTCTGAAATTCTACAATGCCTATACACTTTCTCGCTTTGATGATGAAACTCATACTGTTTTGTGCTACATTATATGACCATATTCAGCACTTAAGAAGCCGATCATCTCCATGGCACTATCATGTCGTATTTCATCATGATCATTCTCTGTTACCAAATTGCGTTTGAGAAAGATTGTAGGACAAATTGTATATTGTATTTCATATATTTGTAACTCAAAAATTTCTTCACAGGAAATCCAGAAATATTTGAAAAAAATGTTTTTTTCATGTTTTATGTCTATTCGTATGTTTTTTGTTGGTAAAATCGATAACTTCTTAGGCTATCAAAGACTTGCATACCAGGATTAATGAACAGAAATAGGTTCTGAACAGTTCAATCAAGCCTTGGTTACCTTGTGTATATTAAAACTGTTTATGGAAAAATATTGAGAATATAAAATGACAATATTAACAAAGAGGACATATGATGCAATAAGATGGCCTAAATTAAAGTGTGCGTGACCTCGGTTCAGTAATAACGAAATAATGGAAGAGGCCATGAGTAGATAAGATTACAGTAAGCAGTAAGTGCGCAGTTTGTGTAACCAAACATTATCAACACACAAGATAAATCTGTAGCGTGCGAACGTCTTACATCATACACTTTAAACATAGAGATAACGTAGTGATAACCTTATGTCAGAATATCATAACGGAGTGTTGTGGGTCTAAAAATGAGCCGTTTTCATTTTTCTATCAGATGAATAATTACGTTCATAATGATAAATGTCAATATTGCACAAAGGGATATTTCAAGTGTGGATTTGCTAAACAAACAGCACACGAGATGGTCTATTGATTCAACAGTGAGAGCGCATGTAAGGTGCTCTGTCTGTACGCTTTGCAGCGTCGTGCTAGAGATAAAGCGGCCATTGTTATCTGGAAAAGTGGGATCCGGCGTGCATTTTCATAAATACAAATGAATAATGAAATATCTTAAAGGGGCGGTATTTCGGGTAAGGGTAGCTTCCATTTGGAACAGAAAATGCTTGATAAAGGTACTAGCATCTGAACGGAAACTGAAAACGTGAAAGTTGATAATCATATGTCAACCAAGTCTTTCATTAAACGTGTCAAGGGTAGCTTACTTCCATTTGGAACAATAACTTCTTGATAAAAGTCTCAGTATCCGATGCGAAATTAAAATAAACATGAAAGTTGATCATTACATGTCAATCAAGGCGTTCATTTAACGTGGTAAGGGGTAGCATGCATTTGGTACAATAACTTCTTGATAAAGCCCCAGTTACTGAACCGAATTTGAAAACATGAAAGTTGATAATTATATGTCAATCAAGTCTTTCATTAAACGTGGTAAATGGTAGCTTCCCTTGATAAATGTGCTAGTACCCGAACCGAAATTTAAAAAAAATATATGTAGAATATTCACTCTGGGCGACATAGTGTATATTATGAGTTTGCGAAATATTTTTATTTTTTTCTTCCTTGGTATATACCCATGAAAATAGCATGTTGAGATTTGTAAATACCTTTGTCCGAGACTGGCCACAGCGCTGACAGTTTCTGGACAAATGGGTTTCCAGAATTAAAATGGGACTTGTTTGATAATCACATGTCAGTCATGTCTTTCATCAACGTGTGTACATTGTACATGTGTTTATATTGCAATCGGTATGGACTGCCAGCCTGTTTACATTTATTAACGGCACTAGACAATATAATCCAGGGTCAGAGTACAAGGGAAGATAGGTACGAAATCATGTATCAGTACATACATATACCATCATGCATTGCTAATGTTCTGTAATCAGCACACAGCGCTCCACAACCCAACACACAGCCCGTGATATTAATTTATACCACAAGACTTAGACTTGATAATTTATTGAACGCTTTTAGACGCTCTTACAGTACCGTGATTTGACCATTTCCTATTTATCTGGAAATGATTTCGAAGTAGGAAAACTGATTTAAGCAACATTTAGGTTTTCGTTATTGTTGTGAATACCAAAGCCATGAGATACACATATACTTCATTGATATTTCACGTGTATCAAATCTCATAATTGCATTAACCTAAAAACGCTGTTTTGCATTTACACGAAAAACCTTTTCACTAACCTGATTTTGTCGACTAATCGAAATTAATTAAATAAACCGGGATCTCTACATTGCAGACATTGCAAACGCAGCGGACAAGTAAATATATATATATGTCGGGTGATATGTGTGTTATTGAACCAGTTCATTATGTCTTCGTTAAAGGTGTATATTATCATTATCATGAAGAGGTGAATTTTCGGAGAGATATCGGCATCTGCCTGTGGAATTACTATTATTATGATAATGAACTTTTTGGTTTTGGAATTAGCCGAAACACCTCAATGTCAAAATTTAATTTATTAGCCAATGCGTATATAGTAATAAACCGAGGGGATCCGGAACAGGACCTTGAACCTTGAATTAATGTAATAACGAGATAGCATCATTATAAATAACGTTATGGATAATTGTAATATAGTTATAATTACCACAAATACAATTATCATAATTTACAAATTGCAATATTGATAACATTAAATATGCTTCTCATTATTATTGTTTAAAAATAAGAACAACAGTAGCGACGTTATCAATGATTATCATATTACACACACACCTGGATTTAAGAACTGGTTGTACGAGCACAATACAAGATAACATTATTTCATGGGTGCAGTTCAACTTGGAACCTCTCACTGGTAAGCGCCAGCTAATATTTAGTGTTTATCAGTCCGTGTTTCGTTCAGTGTTTTTCATATACGAATAATTTCTGGTTTATACCTGTTGTTTATATCATGGACTGGGTTACCGGGTGTAAAGAAACCAATCATGAGTTTCCATGCAAATACCATTGTACCGCCATTTCGGGAAGATAATGAGGGGTTGTTATCCTTTGAATGTTGCAGTAAAGAGAAGATGTAATCTTTGAACATAGGACAATATAAAAATATGACAAAAACTGCTGCTACCTTCACCAAATTACATGTATTATTAGATAGAAATCCAAATAATGAAATAATGAATGCTTTCATTGAAATCTGTATACGTGTTTGCCGGGGTGATGGCAATCAGCGACTAGAAAATCGCGACCTCTCATCATCGCGACTTTTTAGTTGAACTTTACCGAAGTAATTGATATGCTGCGAAATCTTTAGGAATTTTCTTTCGCACAATCAGAGCAAAAACCTATTTAGATGGCGTAAAAGTCAGAAATGTTTGCGATGATATATGCCCGCATTCTGTTGACTAGCCCTGACGCGTCAAATGAATAGGAAGACACGGTTACCAAACTCATAAATTTCTCAAAGAAAAAACTCGACATGCACAGCGCAAGTTGTAGGTAATCCTACTGCAGTGACAACAGAACAGTTTTTTTCAACAGGGGAAGATTTATTCTTTCTGTTTGTCAAGTCCATCTAGAATTTCCCTGGGAGTGGCAAGTACGCTTGCAATCTTGTCCGCTCTGTCGTCAAAGGCGCCCAATGGGCCACTAGAAACAAATATGTCAATGGCAGATGTGACATGGGGCTGTGTATAGTCTCGTAGTGACCTAGGATTAGAGGACACTACATGATGTCATTGCATTTGATCTGACGGTCATATCAACACACAATGTATGTCTCTGTAACTTTTGTGAGAGAAGTAACCAATTAGAAGCAGTTATAGTGCATACCATGCATAGTTATCCTATACCATCATCGAAATCGTGTGCACTTAAGGACCAGTTCATGATGTTAACATACAGCATAAATTTTGTTGCCCGGGTTGGTTAATTGCGCATTTCAACTACAGTAAACTACGGTTATAACGAACACGCTTATAACGAACTGACGGATATAACGAACTTACTTTTTGGTCCCGACTACTTGCTGTAGTCATGCTGTATATGTACTTATAACGAACTACGGTTAAAACGAACTAAAATTAGTAGTCCCTTCGTTATAACCGTAGTTTACTGTATGTTCCAAAGATCGGTAAGCCACTGAGTGTGCACCATGGTTTGAATATTTTAATAGATTATATCTCGACTGTAACAATTTGATATTTGACCCTCACAAATATAACAATTTGAAAAACATGAGCCTCAAAACCCTATTTGGAGGAATGAGCCTCGCTGTCATGTTTGATGACGCAGGCCTCGGTTATACTAGTTCGATAAAATGAGCATAAAAACTTTACCAGTTCGATAAATGAGCATCACATCTAGACTAGTTCGATAAATGAGCATCACAACTGTACCAGTTCGATAAATGAGCATCACAACTGTACCAGTTCGATAAAATGAGCATCACAACTAGTCTAGTTCAATAACCGAGCATCACATCTAGACTAGTTCGATAAATGAGCATCACAACTATACCAGTTCGATAAATGAGCATCACATCTAGACTAGTTCGATAAAAAGGAGCATCACAACTATACCAGTTCGATAAATGAGCATCACATCTAGACTAGT